TCAGGTTTCTTTCCTATAGAACTTTTTAGAACCTTTACTGTCTAACATGCATGATCAATCTGTAACCGCCCAACAGGTTCTTCTTGCCCATTGCCTAGATAGAGGTGACTTATCAAGACAGGGAAACAAACTGTAATAGAGAAAGAATTTAATACACATAGAAGCAGCTAAATGGGAGTCAAAAGTTTCATTATTACTCTAATCAGCCTCCCTGAAATTTCAGAGGCTAGGGTTATTTATTTAGTTTGCTGAGCAGGGGGGTATGGAATGAGAAATGCTAATTGGTTGGGTAGGGGATAAAATCATAGGGAGTCTAAGCTGTCCTCTTGAGTCAGTTCCTGGATGGGGGACCACAAGACCAGATGAGCTAGCTTACCAGTCTGGTGGCACCAGCAAATCCATCAGCATGCAGGATCTGAAAAATATCTCAAATACCAAGCTTAGGTTTTACAGTAGTAATGTTATCCACAGGAGCAATTAGGGAGGTTAGGAACCTTGTGGCCTCTGGCCACATGACTCCTAAGCCATAATTTCTCATCTTGTGGCTGATCTGTTAGTTTTCCAAAGGCAGTCTGGACCCCAAGCAAGGAGGGGTTTGTTTTGGAGAGGGGGGTTATCATCTTTGTTTCAGAGGGAAACTATAAATTAAATTCCTCCCAAAGTTAGTTCAGCCTATGTCCAGGAATGAACAAGGGCAGTTTGGAGGAATGAACAAGGGCAGTTATAGATGTGTGCTTAGCTCACATCTATTTGACTGTCATGTTTTCTTACTGGTATAACTTCTGCATCAAATCTCCAACTTAGCATTCATTTCACAAACAACGAATCACAGAATTCATTTTTGTGCTGAGAATCCCCAAAAGCTATTCTTCAGAAAACACCTAGAAAATCCAGCTCTAATACTTTATTTAAAATAGTGAATGTTTAAAAAAAGTTTATCCTTGTTCCCGTTAATTATCCAGGTTTGCTTTAAATCTACTGCTGTGTTTTACTACTGAGTCAAATTGGAAATAAAGTAGAAATTAAATTCTACTTTAGCTGAAAGGCTGCAAAGACTTGAATATGTGGCAATATTTCCCTTTAGTATTCATCAGAATGACTTAAAGGGCTTATTAAAACACAGATTGTTGGCTCCACCCCTCACCCTGAGATTCTTACTTAGCAGGTCTGCAATGGAGCCAAAAATTTGCATCTCTAACAATTTCCCAGGTGATACTGAAGCTGCTGATACAGGAACCACATTTTGTGTTTATTCTCTCAACATAAAATCTCAAGGCTAGTACAGAGGCTCCAGAATGATGACCAGCTTCTTCTAACTTGCTGTTCCTTCAACCTAGCCCATGACTTGCATCCTCAAAATCACCTCATGATCCAAGGGAGCTCCTCCAATTCTAGCCATCGTGTTAGCTTCAGGGTAGTAGGAAAGGAGTGAAGGCAAAGGGAACATCTCCCAGCCTCGTCAGCTCCTTTTTAGGAGCCTTATTTGCAAGAACTTAGTCAAAAGGCCTCATTACAGGGAAAATGGCAAATATACTCTTGCTGAGTACACTGACAGTCCAAATAATAGTAGGGATCTATAACTAAGAAAGACTGGATATTGAATAGGCAACCAAAAAAACTGCCATACCACTTAAGTCTACATATACTCCAATTAAGAAGTCCTACTGATTTTGCCTCCCAATTATTTTGTAAGTTTATCCTATAGGTTTCATCTCTAATTCTGTTTCTCTAGATCTTGCTTTAATCATCTCTCTCCTACTTTATTATAATTGCAATCTAACTAGTCTCCCTACCTACTATCCTGATGATAGGTAGAAGATGGATTTTGAGCGAGCTAAATCTGCTTATAATTCTTCAATAACTCCACATTTTCTATAAAATAATTAGGTATAAGCATTTTATAATTTCATATGAAGCCCTCATCTACCTATTCCCTGCCTTTTACTTCATACTACTTAACAAACTGTTTCTCTCTTCAGTGCTTTCGTGATGTTTTCTCTGCTATTAAGAGATGTTTTCTCTGCTTGTGCCTGTAATCCTTCTACTCGGGAGGCTGAGGTAAAAAGATTGCTTGAGCCCAGGAGTTCAGGGTTACAGTGAGTCATGATTTCACCACTGCACTCAAGCCTGAGTGACAGAGCAAGCCCCTGTCTCTAAAAAAGAAAAAAGAAAAAGATACTCCTGCTACTCTCTTTACCATTTCAACTCATCCTCTAAGATTTAACCAAGATACTACCTTCTCCAGAAAGATTTCCTTGACAACCCTCCTTCATAGGAAAAGTACTCCTGTATAATCTCATCAAGTCCAGAGCTGTCACTGGATATTCCACGTTGTATTATAATGTTTGTATCTCTGGATTTCTCAATAGATGGTAATCTTCGTAAGTGTAAGGACCAGTTTTATCTATCTTTATACTTCCAAAACTGGATACAGAGCAGATGACAACTATTATTTGTTGAATAAAAGCATAAGCCTTCATCTCCAGCTAGCCAATATACTGAAAATCTGAATAGGACTTGTCAAGCAATGTAATATCCTTTCCTATCACAAGTATCACATTCTAATCACTCAATTTCAAAAGATAATTAGAATCAGAATATCCTTCTTTAATAACTGTATATCAGTCTGTTCTCATGCTGCTGATAAAGACATACCTGAGACTGGGTAATTTATAAAGGAAAGAGGTTAAAATGGACTCACAGTTCCACATGGCTGGGGAGGCCTCATAATCATGGCAGAAGACAAACGAAGAGCAAAGGATGTCTTACATGGTGGCAGGCAAGAGGTCTTGTGCAAGGGAACTCCCATTTATAAAACCATCAGCTCTCATGAGACTTATTCACTATCACAAGAACGGTATGGGGGAAACTGTCCCCATGATTCAATGATCTGCACCTGGGCCCACCCTTGACACATGGGGATTATAACAATTCAAGGTGAGATTTGAGTGAGGACACAGCCAAACCATATAATTCCATCCCTGGCCCTTCCCAAATCTTATGTCCTCACATTTCAAAACCAATCATGCCTTCTTGACAGTCCCCCAAAATCTTAACTCATTTCAGCATTAACTCAAAAGTCCAGAGTCCAAAGTCTCATCTGAGACAAGGCAAGTCCCTCTGCCTATGAGCCTGTAAAATCAAAAACAAGTTAGTTACTTCCTAGATACAATGGGGGTACAGGCATTGGGTAAATACACCTGTTCCAAATGGGAGAAATTGGCCAAAACAAAGGGAGTACATGCAAGTTTGAAATCCAGCGCCCCATGCAAGTTTGAAAGTCAACAAGGCAGCCAAATCTTAAAGCTTCAAAATGACCTCCGTTGACTCATATGCAGGTCACACTAATGCAAGAGTCGGGTTCCCATGGCCTTGGGCAGCTCTGCCCCTGTGGTTTCGCAGGGTACAGCACCACCCCCCGCCCCCAACTGCTTTCACAAGCTGGTGGTGTCTGCAGCTTTTCCAGGTGCAAAGTGCAAGCTGTCAGTGGATCTACCATTCTGGGGTCTGGAGGACCATGGCCTTCTCCTCACAGTTCCACTAGGCAGTGCCCCAGTATGAACTCTGTGTGGGTGCTTCAACTCCACATTTTCCTTCCACACTGCCCTAGGAGGGGTTCTCCATGAAGGTCCCACCTCTGCAGAAAACTTCTGCCTGCACATCCAGGTGGTTCCAAAGATCCCCTGAAATGTAGGTGGAGGTTCCCAAACCTCCATTCTTGACTTCTGTGCACCTGCAGGCTCAATGCCACGTGGAAGTTGGAAGTTGCTAAGGCCTGGAGCTTGCACCCTCTGAAGCCATGGGCCGAACTGTACCGTGGACCCTTTTAGTGACAGCTGGAGCAGCTGGGATGCAGTGCACCAAGTCTCTAAGCTGCATACAGCATGGGGACCCTGGGCCCAGCCCATGAAACCATTTTTTCCCCCTAGGCCTCTGGGCCTGTGATAGGAGAGCCTGCCACAAAGGTCTCTGATATGCCCTGGAGACATTTTCCCCATTCACTTAGTGATTAACATTTGGCCCCTCATTACCTATGCAAATTTCTACAGCTGGCTTGAATTTCTCCTCGGAAAATAGGTTATTCTTTTCTATAGCATCATCAGGCTGCAAATTTTCTGAACTTTTATGCTCTGCTCTTAAACATAAGTTCCAATTCCAAACCATATCTTTGTGAATACATAAGACCGAATGCTTTTAACAACACCCGGGTCACATCTTGAATGCTTTGCTACTTAGAAATTTCTTCCACCAGATGCCCTAAATCATCTCTCTCAAGTTCAAAATTGCACAAATCTCTAAGGGAAAAATGCTCCCAGTCTCTTTGCTAAAACATCACAAGAGTCACCTTTATTCCAGTTCCCAAAAAGTTCCTTATCTGCATCTGAGACCACCTCAACCTGGACTTCATTGTCCATATCACTGTCAGCATTTTGGTCAAAGCCATTCAACAAGTCTCTAGGACGTTCCAAACTTTCCCACATCTTCCTATCCTCTTCTGAGCCCTCCAAACTGTTCCAACCTCTGCCTGTTACCCAGTTCCAAAGTCGCTTCCACATTTTTTGGTATCTTTACAGCAGCACCCCACTCATGACACCAACTTACTTTATTAGTCTGTTCTCATGCTGCTAATAGACATACGTGAGACTGGATAATTTATAAAGGGAAAAGGTTTAATGGACTCACATTGCTCACATGGCTGGGGAGGCCTCACAAATGTGGCAGAAGGTGAAGGAAGAGTAATGGCATGTCTTACACGGTAGCAGGTAAAAAGGTTGTGTAGGGCAACTCCCCTTTATAAAACCATCAGATCTCATGAGACTTGCTCACTACCATGAGAGCAGTATGGGAAAAACCTGCCCCCATGATTCAATTACCTCCCACCAGGTCCCTCTCACAACACGTAGGGATTATGGGAACTACAATTCAAAATGAAATTTTGGTGGGGACACAGCCAAACCATATCAAACTCCAACTACAGTTCAAAGCATAAAAACTATTTCGTGCATAGCCAAACATCTTTATTTTTCACAACCTGAATACTAAAGATACAACCCAACTAGTCCCAGAACATTTCTAGATATTTCTGTGTATTAACCAAACTAAACAAATTTTTAAAAAGAACATCTGCAACAATAACAGAATAATAATTTAACAATCAAAGTTGGCTTCACCATTTCTTGTCTTCTCCATACATTTATCCAAGTTCTCCATCTTTATTTCTTCTTCCTTTTTATATGGGGTGTATTCAGTATCTTTTTCTGGGTTTGGAACTGATTTCTCTTTTGGTATCAAGAAACATTCAGCATTTAAAACTTGTTCAGCAGTCATTGAACTTCTATAATATATCAAGCTACAGAGGAGGGATTTGACTTTATCATCCTGTAAGGAAAAACAGGTGTTACAAAACAAAGGAACAAAAGGACAAATCTGTAATGAAGAAGGACAATTCACAAATACTCTTGGTCAGTGATACAAGGCAAAAATCAAGTTTTTCTATTTAGATTTTTAAAGATTCTTACCAAGTTCAACTATAGTTGACCCTTAAACAACACAAGTTTGAACTGCACAGGTAGGTCCACTAATAAGTGGATTTATTTTTTCAATAAATGTAGTCAGGAAGGAGGCGCTTCAAGATGACTGACAAGGTATGTGGTACTCCCCTCAACAAAAAAAACACCAAAATAATGAGCTGATAATCACACTTTAAATAGATCATCTGGCTGGGCACAGTGGCTTATGCCTGTAATCTCAGCACTTTGGGAGGCCATGGTGGGGGGAATCCCCTAAGGTCAGGAGTTCAAGACTAGCCTGGCCAACATGGTGAAACCTCGTCTCTACTAAGAGAGTTGTATACTTGGAAGTGAAAGAACAATATCTACCATTACAAAACACATATAAACTCCACTGGTAAAACAAACACACAAATAAAGACGAGAAAGAATTCAAGTGTTACCACTACAGAAAACCACGAAACCACAATGAATAAGAGAGAAAGTAAGAAATAAAAGATACACAAAACAACCAGAATCAATTAATACAATGACAGAAATTAACCCTCATGCATGTATCAATAATAGCCTTGAATGTAAACCAGTTAAACTTTCCACTTGAAAGATATAGACTGGTTGAAAGGATTTTTTTAATGACCCAATTATATGCTGCCAAAAGATGTTCCATACAAAAGGAAACCAAAAGCAAGCAAGTATAGCTATACTTGTATCAGGTAAGACAGATTTTAAGTCAAAAAGAGCAAAAAGTGACAAAGAAGGTCATTATATAATAATAAAGAGATCAATTCAGCAAGATAATATAACAATTCTAAACATACACATGGATCCAACAACAGAGCACCCAGATACATAAATCAAATATTATTAGATCTAAAGGGAGAAACACACTCCACCCAACTCTCACCACTAGACAGATCATCTAGAGAGAAAATTAATTTTTAAAAAAACTGATTTTACACTGCACTTAAAAACCAAATTAACCTAACAGATATTTACAGAATACTTTACCCAACAGCAACAGAATACACATACTTCTCATGAGCATATGGAACATTCTCTAGGAATAGACCATATCTTAAGCCACAAAACAAAGCTCAAAAAATGTTTTGAAATTAAAATCATATCCAGTTTCACCTCAGACCACAATGGAAAACTAAAAATCAACAAGAGAAACTGAAAACTATACAAACGCACGGAAATTGGCCAGGCACAGTGGTTTACACCTGTAATCCCAAAACTTTGGGAGGTGGAGGTGGGTGGATCACTTAAGGTCAGGAGTTTGAGACCAGCCTGGCCAACATGGTAAAAGCTCATCTCTACTAAATATACAAACATTAGATGAGTGTGATGGCAGACACCTGTAATTTCAGCTACTCAGGAGGCTGAGGCAGGAGAACTGCTTGTACCCAGGAGGCAGAGGTTGCAGTGAAGTGAGATCATGCCACTGCACTCCAGCCTGGGCAA